GGGGCTGCAGACAGGTGTTACCTTGAGTGCCCCTGGGGAGGACGGTGGCCAGGACCCAGGCCAGCAGCAGCAGCACCAGGACACCCACCAGGACGCTTGTGATGCTGATGACCAGGGCCTGGAAGTGGCCCTGGGGCCTCGGCGCGGGGCTGGGGTGTGTGGTGGGTGACTCTGAGACTCTCTCTGGAGGGAAGACACAGAGGGACCGGACCTCAGGCCTCGAAGCTGGCCAAGACCTCATGGGAGACCCTCTAGACGAGTGACCCGTCCAGCCTGGGGCCCCACTGCCCTCAGCTTCCTGCTGCCCAGTCTGAGGCCTCACCCGTCACTGTGAGCTCTGCGCAGGGGCTCTCAGTGATCTGTGTCTCAGGGGGCAGGCGGATGGCTCCGCAGTAGTAGATGTTGCTGTCATTGCGCAGGACGGCGCTGATGTGCAAGCTGAAGTTTTGTTTGTCCTCCAGCTGTGTGATGCTGAAGCGCTGGTCCCAGGCCGGCTCCCCGTGGTCCTTGGGGAAGGCGGCCAGCTTGACCGACTGGTTGTTGGGGCTCCCGCGGTACCAGTTCAGCATGGTGGGCTCGGTCATGTTGGGGTAGCTGCAGAAGAAGGTGGCTCCCTCGCCCTCGGCCACTGTAAGCCGAGCCGGCGAGAAAGTGAGAGGGCTGCTGGGCCTTTCGGGACAGACTGGGGAGAGAAGGGCCAGCTGTGAGGGAGGGGCCCAGGCAGCCTGAGAGACCCCCCCCAGACTTCGACCCACCCCACACAGTACTTCTGCCAAGGGGCCTTCTGTCGTCTTCTTGCACACCCCCAGGGACGGGGCACTCAGCCCTGCCAGGTGGCCGCTCACCCCGGCAGCTCTCAGGGTGGGATTTTCCCTCTGACTTTATTGAGATCGGACGTCGGGGGCTTCTGTCTGCTGTACTACCTCTGACCCTGGGTCCCCCATTTCTCTCCCAAGGGGGGGCCATAAGGGTCTTCACCACCCCCTGTGACTCCAGAGCCCTGCCCACTCCTGGGCATCCTGCTTCTGTGTCCATTGCCCCACCGGCCTTGAAACACCTCGGTGGAGGGGGTGCTCTGAGGTTGGGCTGGGAGAGGGTTGGCGTCCCATGGAGATCCCTTGCCTTGGGCTGAGCTTGGCCTCTCAACAGGCTCGGGGTCTGGCCTTTGCCCACATCTCTGACAGGTCAGAACCAGGACCAGCCAAGGCCCATGAGGGTCACCGTGTACGGGCGTCACGGACCAGCCCCATCACCCACGTCTGCTGTCAAAACCAGACTCACGGTGAGAGCAAGGAGCTCTTGGAGACCATGGCCCCCCATCCCTTATATGGACCAGGCAACAGGCTAGACCATGCTGGATGGTCCACCCCAACCTGCATCTGGCCGGCCCCAAACAAGGACCCGCCAGAACACTCTGCCACAAGGGCCCTGGTCCTGCCACGCACACCAAGGCCACAGGCTCGTGGTCATCACAGGGCACCCAGACTCTTCCTGCCAAGGACCCTCCTCACTGGCCCATGGCTCATACACACATGTGCACACACACACACACACAGTCACACCCACACACGCACACACATGCCTGTGGGCACACAGTCCCACGAACCCACACAGTCACACCCACACTTGCCTGTGCACACACAGTCCCACATACCCACAGTCCCACTCACACATGTACACATGTATGCACACATATTCATACCCCCCCACAGCCACACTCATGCACACACACCCATGTGCAGCCACATTTATGCACACGCAAAGGCACACAGGTACACACACACCTTCTCACACACACTTGTCTTGCTAACACTGGTGGAGAAACGGCTCTCCTTTGAGGCCCGTGTAACACCCAGTGGGCGGTTCCCTGCATCCCGAGTTGAGGTCATCTTGATGGCCAGTGTTAAAGGACGTGATGACCTTGGGAACACAGCTCAGAGCCCAGGGGTTACTGGAAGGTGGCTCCCTGGCCCCGCCCCCACGGGTACCCCACTGACCCGCATGTTGGTGCCAGACAGACCCAGTGATGTGGGTCCCAGGGAGAGTGCCCCTCACGCCACGTCCCTCTGGTTCTATCTGCACAGTCTTCACCACACCAGGTGAGGGTCTGGTTTCTCGGTGCCCACCCCCCAGGCAGTGACACAAACAGGCCTTGGGGGGACCCTTGTGAAAGTGTTCATGCAGTGGACGCCTCCTGGGTTGCCATGGCTACGGTTCCTCTGCTCCTAGGGACAGGCTGGCCTCCAGTGGGTCACAGTGATCCCCTCACCACCTGATGCCGGGCTCCAAGCGGGGAGGACCCTGCCTGCACCCAGTGCCTTCACCGGTACAGTGAGGAGCCCGCCTGGCGGGGCCTCACAAGGGTCCCTGTTACCAGGACAACCCCTCCCACCACAAGGGGCTGACAGAGGTGTCTAAAATGACCCCCGTTTGCTTAGGAAAAACATTACAGATTTTAAAGGGCCGTCGGCCTTGAGGTGGCTGGGCCAGCGTGGTTCTGTGGCGCTGCGTTGTCACAGCCCTGCTCGGGGACAAATGCAGGACTGTCTCACCCCCGCAGGGCAGGCAGGTGGGGCTGGCACTGTCACCCCCTACAGACGAGGGAGCTTGGAGAGGCCGGAACTTGCCCACGGCCCCCAGCCAGCCTGTGCTCCCCACTTTCCCACCCTACAGCTTCTCTGGCCGCTGACAGTGGACAGTGCCTGGCCCGCGGTGGTCACTTCTGCCCTATTGTATCTACTGGTCCCACATGAGCGCCACACTGGGCTTGAGGGTGGTCACAGCTCTGTGAGCTGGGCCAGGAGGCCATTTTGCAGGCTGGGGCCCCGTGGAGAGGACGGCAGACCTGCCCCGGCTGTTCCTTGGGGGCAGGGGTGTCCACGAAGCCCGGTAGGCTCTGCAGAGGGGCCACTGGGTGGTGACCTGGAGGGGGCACAGCCTCGACTAGGAGAGGTGGCTGATTGTCTGTCTGAGCCCTAACTGAGCCCCAACAACCCAGGGAGCAGGGGCAACACTGGGCCCCACAGGCGGTGTGGAAAACAGTGCCCAAAGGTGTCTTTGAGGGAGCCGAGGAAGCAGCCAGTCCTCGGCCAGTGCTGGGAAAAACAGAGCCTGGAGCCTCAGAGACAGCCCCACCTTGCCAACATCTACAGCAGCCAGCACCTCCCTGGGGCCATGGTCACACCGTGGGGGCCATGCTGGGGCCCCCACCCCTGGAGAAAGGAGTCTGTGGGTGAAACCCCGACAGAAGCTTCAAATGCGCAAGTGCGTGAGCAGGTGGCGGTGTAGTGGTTACACTGGCTGCTAACCGAAAGGTCGGCAGTTCGCTCCCACCAGCCTTGCTCTCGGGGGAGAGCTGTGGCTGTCTGCCTCTGAAAAGATTACAGCCTTGGAAACCTTATGGGGCAGTTCTACTCTGTCCTATAGGGTCGCTATGTGTTGGAATCGACTTGCCGGCAACCGGCGAGCAGATCCTGTTTTCTGGAAAGGGTGCTGATGGAGTGCTGACTTGTGAGACCACGGACGAGGATGTCACTTCTTCCCTGTGGCATGACCCTTCATGAAACTAACCGTATCATCTGTGAAATGAAATTCTAAATACTGCCTACTCATTTGCAGAAATCCATACAGGGGCAGGTGGGCCTCATGCTCTTTTTCTGGCTGGAACATGCCACACCTGGCCCCGGTCACTGACATGCCACACCGTGGGTCCCTGCTGGGTTCCCGAGAAGGACCTACAGCTCGTCTGTGATGTGAACTCCCCTCGAGGAAATGTGAGATCAACCCAGAGGCGGCTCCCTCAGCCTCTTCCTTGAGTCTTCAGGAAACCACGTGAGAAGATGGAGCGGAGAGGGGACTAAGAAACCAGGCCATCTCCATGGGGCAGTGACCCTGGCTTGGTTCCAGACCAGAGAGAATAAATCAGCCAAACCCGCTGCCATCGAGTCGACGTTGGCTTGTGGCAACCCCATGTATGTCAGAGCAGGACTGTGCTCTATAGCGTTTTCAGTGGCTGATTTGAAGTAGATTGCCAGGCCTTACTTCTGAGGCACCTCTGGGTGGACTCAAACCTCCAATCTTTCTGTTATCAACCAAGCGCGTTAACTGTTTGCAGGGAAAATAAAACCCAGCCCCCAAAGACTTCCGGGGGGCTCTGGGAACGTCTGCATGTGGATGCCTGTTTGACAATGGTACAGCTTATAGAAGCACAGGAGAAAGCTTGGTCCCTAGAAGACGCACGCCGGCGTGTCTGGGGGCAAAGTGCCCCCTGAGCTGCTGCCAGCGCTCACACAGGTCAGCGGGACCCAGGCCTATGAGTAGAGATGGACAGCAAATGGGCAGCCCTCCCTAGTGGGTGGCTCTGGGTGAAGGGTGCTCCCCCTCTGTATCTGCCACTTTTCTATAGGTTTAATCCTTATCAAAATTGCAAGACGGAAATAATCAAATGAATGAACTTAAAAAAAAAGCTGTGTCGGGGGAAAAAAAAGTCGGTGCTGCAGGCACAGGGAGGGGCTGGCTGATGGCTGGGGCCTTTGGGCTCCGGAATTCAGGGATGGTAGCCCCGAATAGGGTGTCAGGACTCTGCCTCCACCTTGTGGCTGTGACACCACCGTGCCCAGCAAGGGCAGAGCGGCCCTGGGCCTGGAGTCTGGACAATCACCCCTAAACCCCTGGCCTCAGTGCCTGCCGTGTATGATGCCCGCTAGCTCAGAGACTGACGGGCGAGCCATCCCCTTGAAGGCGAAGGGCAAGGGGAGCCCAGGAGGAGGAGCCCCTTCTCCAGGGATCCAGGGCCTCAGGCTGCCACAGTGGGTGGTCTGCACCAGGGGCCTGGGGGGTACGGCCACTGTACCCCAGGACCAGCACTCCCAGTCCACCCGAGCATGCTCCAAGCCACGCCCAGGACCGGTGCACCCCAGGGCTCTTGTCAGATGGGCTGCCTCACATTTTTGATATGATAGAGCAGCATCACCAGGCCATCCGACCTGTGACTCCCGCGGCCAAAGCCAGCCCCACACGAGGAGGGGACACCAAAGGGAAACAGCCAAGAAAGTGCCAGCGGGCCTGTCACCCACAAAGAGGAGAGGCAGGAGACCGGGAGGGCGGCCCTGACCCACTGACGCCGAGGCAATCTGGGATGAGGACAGAGGTCCTGCCTACCCGTATGAAGGATGCTGCCAGGTGAAGCGGACAGGTGAGGTGGGCAGGTGAGGGGCAGAGCCCAGAGAGGGCACTTGGTCTCCCAAAGCCACGCATCCCGGGGAAGGACACGGCTGGGCCGTGGGCATGGCCGCCCGCATCAGGGGGAGGCTGTGCAGGACTGAGGCCATCCTGTGCTAGCCCCTCTGTGCCTGACCCCAACCCTGTCCCCATACCTGCTGCCCCCCGGCCCTGACCCCGTACCTTGGAGCTGTCCCAGCCGCCAGCCCAGCTGCAGTACCGCCCAGATGAGCTGCCAGGGTGCCCGCGGGGCCCGCATGCCCAGTGGCCCCACGCCGCGGCCAGCGCCGCTCCTCCTCCGGGGCTGCTCAGAATGCCTGGGGCCCCGGCGAGGAGCAGCGGAAAGGAAACTGTCCCGAGTCTTGTCGCAGGGAGGGAAACTGCCTGTGCCCCCGCCCCCTCTTCCTCCGCCTCCACGTGGGCGGGGAGCTCAGGGGGGCGGGCAGAGAGGCACAGACACCCCAGGAGCTAGAGGAATAAAGAGGGAGAGAGGGAGGACGGGAGTGAGGATGAGAGGGAGGGAGAGACACAGAGAGAGACAGAGAGGACAGGAGAGAGGCAGAGATGGCCACCCCCCCGCCCCACTCTCCACCTCGGGGCGAATCAGGGCCCCTGGAGCAAGTTTTGTCTCTTGGCTCATTTGTCATTGCCTCTTTCCACTTCCCACCTGTGCTGCCCCGTTTGAATGCTGGAGGCTGGGGGTGGGGGTGCAGGTCCTCCTGCCCCCCAAATTCCAGCCCCAAGGGCTCAGGCCTCCAGCCCCTGAAGCCTGGGGAGGTGGGTCACTCTCTCTAGACTCAGGTTCCTGAGAGGCTGCAGTGAGGGAGGCAGAACAGGGGCAGAGGGGGCAGGGGCAGCAGGGGCAGTGGGGGCAGGGGCAGTGGGGGGCAGTGGGGGCAGTGGGGTCAGCAGGGCAGACAGGCTCCCAGCACTGCGTGCACCCTCACCCCCACTCTGCCCCATGTGTGTCTGGGCTGCAGCATCCCGGCTGATGAACCCTGACCCCTCTGGGCTCCCCTGCGGTCTGGCTGGCTGCTGTTGCGTCCCTCTTGGCCACTGCTCAGGGGACAACTGCCCGGCCAAACCCCTGCCACCCAGCCCCCATTGGGCAGGTAGGGGGCAGAAGGTGGGCATGGCTATTCCTGCTCATAGCATTGGGCCGCCCCATTCAGGGGACATCTAAGCTCTTTGGTGGCACCATAGATCAGGCATTTGCCCTAACCCTGCTGGCCACTGCTGAACGTTCCTGGGGCTGGGCACCTGTCTCAGTGGTCTAGTGCTCTGGGGGAAGGTCCTTGTCATCACTCTTCCCCTGGTCTAGGAGATTCTTGGCGCAGGGAACTTGGGTCCAAAGGACGCGCTCTTCTCCGGGCTCTTGTTTCTTGATGGTATGAGGGCCCCCTGTCTCTCTGCTCCCTTCTCAAAATACAACCTTATCTTGTAGATTGAGTTCTGCTTTATTAGCATAACTACCTCTAATCCTGCCTCATCAACATCATAGAGGTAGGACTTACAACACCTAGGAAAATCACATCAGATGACAAAATGGTGGACAATCACACAATACTGGGAGTCATAGCCTAGCCAGGTTGACACACATTTTTGGGGGGCTCAATTTAATCCATAACAGCACCCTTCCAGCCTCAGGGCCTCCAGAATCAGCTTTCACTGGGCCCCACACAGGCTCCCAGGGGCCGCCACCGTTCCAGGTCTGTCTGTCCATTCCCTGGTGCCTCCTGACAGCCTCCCCCCACGCTGGGCCTGTGGGTGGCCGGGTGCTGGGTGTTTGGATCCCTGAGCAGGCAGGGGTGGGGCATTCGGGTTGGTGGACTCCCACGCCTAGCTGTCTGAGGCCCGCACTGACACCACAGGCCCTCTCTGGGCCCGGTGGCTGCGTTGCCATGCGGGAGATGATTTGATTATCTCGCTGCATTTTGCTGAGTATTTTGTCCTCGGTAATGGAAAGCTGGAGGCATGAAACTGCTGATATTAGTGACGAGGTGCCTGCGTGGGTCTCTCGGCTCAGACCACGCGGCTCACAGACGCTGGGCTGCGGCTGTGCAGGAAAAGCATAAAAGCACACTCAGAAACGGTGGAAAAAGTTCATCAAAGACGATTCTACAGCAGGCGCCTGGGAGGAAGCGGGGGATCGTTACTTTATGAACAAAGGGCCACTCTGATGAGGCCATGTGGGAGGTGTGGAGGGGGGCGCCCCAGGGCCGGGGCTCAGTGGGGCTGGGGAGGCTGTGCCGGCTGAGGCCTCCAGGGACCTGCAGGCTGCTGGCTAGCCAGATGGTTAGGGTGAGCAGGGCTGGTCTGGAGGAGGGTGGGGCCACGCTGACCCAAGTGGACAGCCCATGTGGACACGTGTCTCCTGGCACCCCCCTCCGACCATCACAAGTCGGCAGCTCTGGGGGCGTGTCCGGGGGGGGGCTCCCTGGGCTGGGGATGAGTGGCGGATGGGGGGTGGGGGTGGGGAGCGGGCGTGGGGACGGGTCCACCCCTGTCCAGACGTCAGGTCGGCATTCGACCACCCCGTCAGGGGTCCTCAGGCCTGGACATGGGAAGGGAGTCCTTCTGGACAGAGCCTGCCCCCTTCTTCCCCCTCGGCACTTGAAAACACCATTTCCTTCCTCTGTGGTTAATGTCTACTCTGTCCTCTCGCTCAACCACAGGCATTCCCTGGGGGGCCTGGGGCCGGGCGCTGGGACGAAGCTGTCCTCTGAGGCCCCCAAGTGTCACTGCCGGCTGGAGGGAAGTAGGGTTGGGGGGAGCTCAGGGAGAAATTCCCGGATTCGGTTTGTCCTCCCAGCTCCCTTCTTTCCTCTCTTCCTCCTTCCACCCCCCTCCTTCATTTCCCCCACCAATTCACCTAATAAGAAACCGGGGAGTCGGAGAGAGTTGGGCGCGGAGTGGGGAGGCGCTCTGCCGAGGCGGAGGCTGGCGCGGCCCCCGGGTGCCTGCCGCCCACTGGACAGAGGGGCGGGGGCGGAGCCGAGGGGCTGGGGCCCCGGGAGAGCCTGGGGGCGGGGCCGGGGAAGCAGGTCCCGGGGCGGGGCCCGGGGAGCTGGCGTGGGGTGCCGGCGCGGGCGCGGGGCGCAAGGCACTGGGCGTGGGGCGGGAGGTCGGGGGACAGGGCACAGAAGCCTCTCCTGCGGGGATTCGTGGGACAAACGAGATTCGTGGGACCGAGTCTGGGAACTGACTGGGACCGGGGCTGTGGGAGGGGGCAGATGGGTCCCGGGGCCTGGGACGGAGTTTCCTAGGCGCTTCAGCCTTGCTGCAGCTCTCCGGACCTCTTATCAGCACCTCTACCCCTACCCCTCGGGTTTCTACCATCCACCCCCACCCACCGTTGCAGATGAGGAAGCGGGGGTGGGGGTGGGGGTGCAGCACAACGGGGAGGATGGCAGCATGGACTGGACAGGCTTCCTGCCTGCGGGATGGGGGTGAGGTCAGGGTACCCTTGGATCCCTCCCCGGGGGCGCCTTGGACTGGTCTGCAGCTCCTTCCAGAGCCCTTTCAGGCCCAGGAAGACCGTCCTGTTACCTGTCCCGGCTCCACCTCTGCAACCGCCAGTCATTAAATCTGTAATCTGGGGTTACAAGATAAAATACAAGCAGCCCCGTTAAATTTACACTTCAGATGAACAACAAATACTGTATTTTTAAATTAAGTATTGTATTTTTTTCTCTAAATTTTATTTTGTTGTTATTGAGAATATACACAGCGAAACATACACTAATTCAAAAGTTTGTACGTGTCCAATTCAGTGACATTGATCACATTCTGAGTTGTGCAACCATTCTCGCCCTCCTTTTCTGAGTTGTTCCTCCCTGATTAACATAAACTCAATGACCCCCCCACCAAGGTTCCTATCTAATCTTTCGAGTTGCTGTTGCCATTTGATCTTATATAGATAGTTCTTAAAAGAGCAGAATGCTCAAGGCAGACCTTTTTTACTATAAGCTAAACTATTGTTTGCTTTTAAGAAGACTCCGAAGGATATTTTTGGTTTAAGGTTTAAAGATTATCTCAGGGCAAAGGTTTCAGAGATTCATCCATCGTCCATGGCTCCGGAAAGTCTAGAATCCATGCTAACTTGAAATTCTATTTAGCATTTTCCCCCTTTTGATGAGGATTCTTCTACGGAATCTTTAAGCAAAATGTTCAGTCATTGTAGCCAGGCACCATCCTGTTCTTCTGTTCTCATGGCAAAGGGGGCAGTTGTTCATGGAGGCAATTAGCCACACGTTATATCCTCCTCCTATTCCCGACTCTTCTTCCTCCAGGTGACTAGAGACCAATTGTGCCTTGGATGGCCGCTTGCAAACTTTTAAGAACCCAGGCACCACGCAACGAACTAGCAGGTAGAATCAGAAGCACTAAACATGTTTTTAGGCCGATTAACTGGGATGTCCCATGAAGCCATGACCCTAAACATCCAAACC